GACTGCTAGGAAAAAATCATTAACCAACTTGATAAAAATATTAACAAGATTTTATTTCTGGGGTGACAGATACAAAAAATAATTAATCAACTTGAAAAATAAATATATGACCCACATTATTGACCCTTTGAACTTCAGGATTAACACCTGTGCTAGGCTGACGACCGGGAGTGGCGAGGGGAATGAGAAAGTGGTGAGAGAGTGGTGTAAAGTGGTGGAAAGTGGTGAAAAGTGGTGGAAAGTGGTGCCACCATAAGTAAAAATGGGTACCTATAACACTACTTATATTGCACAAGATGTTTTTCATTTTATAAAATGCAGTTTTTGCCTGTCCAATTCTGTTATTCTTATTTCAGTTATGCATCTTCCATCTGATGTTATCCATGTACCCAGATACTTAAATTTATGTACTTGTCCTAAAATAACACCATTGACTTTTATTACACAGTTAGGAATAATCTGTTCCTTTGATACCACCATTACTTCTGTCTTCCCATTATTCAAACTGAGGCCCATTCTTCCACTTTCTAACACCACAATGTCTATCATTTCCTGTAATTCTTTCTGACTTGTTGCTATCAAGACTGTGTCATCAGCATAACGTAAATTGTTTTTATTGTGCCCACCAGCCACCATTCCGGGCATATTAATTAAAGATCTCATTAAATATTCACTGTTTATTGAAAACAAATCAGGTGAATGGACACATCCTTGTCGTACGCCCCTCTTTATGCTTTGAAATGTACCTAAACAGTTGTTTATTCGTATAGCTGCCGTTTGCTGCCAATACATATTCTTTATTATTCGTAGATCTTTCCCATGAATGTTTAATTTTTCCAACAGTTTGATTACTTCTTCATGCTTCACACAGTCAAATGCTTTTGTATAGTCTATGAAGCATTAGTACAAATCAGTCTTTACTTCTATAGCTCTTTCTGACAATGTCCTTAGGATGTATATGGCATTGTTTGTACTTTTTCCTTCTACAAATCCACATTGTTCATCGCTGATTTCTGGTTTAATTTTGTTTCTTATTCTTCTCATAATTATTCTCAGTAAAATCTTAGTCATGTGACTCTAAGACTTATTGTGCGATGGTCTTCACATTTTAAAGTGCCTGGTTTCTTTGGCAGAGCTATAAATATGGATTTTAAAAGGTTATTTGGAATATACCCACTATTATAAATATCATTTAAAAGTTTAGTTATTATTTAAATTCCAAAATCTCCCAGTGCTTCGATTTCTTCCAGTGAGATGTCTGGCAGACAGGCAGTATAGGCAGACGAAAGGGGAAGCAAGCAAAAGTGAGACGCTGTTGCTAATGACAACGGAAGTTTACCCTTCTGCCGAGAGCGCTTGCCAACAACACGACCGTCTTTAGAATAGAGGTGGTCGTGACGAACAAATTATCTGTTTGACAATTTTCAACATGCCTGTTAGCCAAAACCCTAAAGAGTGTGGTAAGATTTAGTTTGCGAATGTATGACAAAGTTGATATATGTTATGTCAGTCATATTACTGTGTATATTATAATATTAGTTGTTTCAATACATTAACAAAAGAACATGAGAGAAGACTAACCACCTGTTAATGAGATGTTTGAGAATGGCTGCGAATAAAACCAGAAGAGTTCGAGTGAGAAACGATGTGATTACAAGAACTATTGGAACCATACCCATCGTTAAATTTATTGAGAAGCAAAGAATGAAATGGTTTGGTCACCTAATGAGAATGGAACCAACGATGCCAGCATCAAGAGCATACAACATGAAAATCGAAACAACAAGAGGCAGGGGAAGACCAAGAAGAAGATGGATTGAAGGAGTCACGGACAACTTGAGACTTCATAACATCACAGCATATGAAGCGACTGAGCGCGCCCTGGCTCGGTTGCCGATCATCTGATAGACTGCGACGCCTAGCGGCACAAGCAGATTTTGACAAAAGAAGAAGAAGAAGAAGTTGTTTCAATTGAATTAGTATCTAGCTATTTCTAGTATCTTTCGTGCCCACGATTCTCCTGCTGTCAGCCCCGGCGGAAAGTTCTGGTAGTTCGTCTATCTACTTCTGTACTTTGTGTTCCAGAATGTAAGTTTTGCGTGCACATCCACAGATCTCGCTGCTGAATGAAGCAAGAATTGGCATCACTACACTCGGGACATTTCCGCCCTATCCCGTCCCCTTCCTCCTTAACCAACTCAGACTTCCCGTTGATGTGTGCTCAGTTGTAAACTGATGATAAGTTCACCTGTTCCTTCTTCCCGTAGCTTATTTGCATGAAGACTGTTAATTACTCGCCTCAAAGGCACATACAGCCAGACTTCAAATGAAAACCCTTACTTAGTCCTGGTTTATGGCATGCGATAGGGGGTTAATTCCAGAGAAATTTGATTAAAAAGCTCAACAAAATGGGAAAGAGGAAAACGTGCACAAACTGGAATTCATTGTATTAGCTTGACTGCAGTCACCCCCATAGTTTCACCATTTTTGGATAGGGGGTTAGTGGGTCTATTTTTTTCCCCGCCTCAAAAAAATAAATATATAATGCAAACACAGAAGCTGAAGTTACATAGTGGTTCATGTGCTTGCTTGTCTAGACAGTTTTCTGGGTTCAGTGGTAATGAAATTGATATGCAAATGTTTCAGGTATCTCTTCAGTGGCGCATATCTTATTCAATATCGGCTCTTCTCCGAACTTCAACCCGATATTATGGCGGCCATAAAATATCCTTACGGGGCTCAGGCATATGTAAAATGAAGACTTTCTGCCAAGGAACAAATCGCGGCAAAACTAGGATAACTTAAAAATTTCATGAGACACAACATTGCAGACGATAGTAGCAGACGATAATAGCGACCGTTGACAATTTTGAGCTTCTCTGCAGACGATAGTAGCAGACGATAATAGCATGTGCAAAACGCGATTGGATTCCCCCGTGTGGGTTTTAGGACCCTATTCTTTCTGGTAGTGGTGATGGAGAAAAGAACATATCATAAATCAGTGGGTCCTTTACAGAACTTCTCTCTCTTTATAGCATGCCAGAAAATCTTTCTTACTCTAGCCAATTATTCAGCCCTATGTGCGTTCATAGCCAATGTATCTTCAGTGTCTTATATCCACCTTTGTAGAGATCCTCTGCTTCGTTTTCCAGAAACTGCACCTTCCATCACCTTTCTCTGCAAGCCATCATGATGTTTGACATGTTCAAATACCAGTTTTCATGAGATGATTCTGTTTACGAGCCGATTTTCCGCAATGTTCAAATCATGTGGGATGTCAGTGATTTTTTTCTTTGTGGTCCGTGGTGTTCAAAGAATTTTTCTGTATCCATTTCAGTTTAAGTTTGTTTTCCAAAGATTGTTGTTAAATCTAAATTACAGTGCTTAGCTTGTTTTTCTTTTTGTTGTTGTTGCTCAAAAACCTTATCTCTGCTGCCAGTAAATGTTTTTCAGCTCGTCTACTTAGTTTCGTGTCTCACACCTAACGACAGACTCTATTTAGCACTCTATAACATTTTTGTTCTAACTGCGATTGACATCTTTCTTTGGTGAGTATCTTTTCCATCTTGCTGTTAAAGTATGCCTAGTTGTAATCATAAATGCTGCTGATATTAATGTCATATTTTCTTGTATCTGTAGGTTGGTTTTATCACGCCCCAGCTAAAAAGGAGCCTGGAAGGCCACGTGTTGATTATGTTGCTCCTTCAAATTTGCCAGGAATGGGGTTTGATGATCCAAGTTTGCAACAAAAGGATACTGTAAAAGAAATGCTGTTTAAGGAGACAGATTCAGAGTATATTCGGCTGGCAAAGATGGGAGGAAGAAAAGGTTTGAGTTTTATTATTTTTCCTCTTAACCATTGTTGTTGTCTGGAAAGTATTATTTCTTTTTTTTTTTTAATGAACATTATTTGGTTCATAGTATCTTGTGATATAAGCTCAATCTTTGCATGTTGTTTTCCATAGATAAATACTGGTAGCCAGGCCTGAATTTAGGATGTATGAATCTCCTGTGCAGACTTTTATTTTATGCCCATTCTTCTTTCAGCAAACTTCAGCATCACTTTTTGTTTACAGACTACCAATAATAATTTGTGGTATTATATACTTGTTTTAAACTTCATTTAATAAAGTATTAAAAATTTATTTAAATACACAGCGGATAGGGCAGATTTGCACGTGAAAACTACTTCTGTTTACAGCACAAACATATTTGAAATTATCATGTCCAAATGTCATAGTGTGTCTTTTGCTTTAGAAACAGTGACCTCCCCCATTGTGACCTCCATATCTTGGAGTGGGATATGATTAAGAGAAGCCACATTATCATTTGTCTGGTTTATTATTATTATATTTTTCCATTATGGATTATCAGACCTAGTTGTGATCTCACATCAAGTATTACCACCTTATCTTTTTTATTTCCCTTATTTCTTCGCCTCACATAATTAAAGGACTGTACATAAACATGCTGTGTGAATGTTGACAACAGAATGTAGTTGCTAAAGGAAACTGTTTAGAACGAAATTTAAATGATCAGAATGTTGCTGATTGTTTTTATAATAAGTACACTCCAAGAACTTTCAAATGTAATTTTGGACAAAAGTTATCCTAAATTGTATACTTTACTTTTATTGTTTAATGTGTTTTTGTGTTACAGATTTGCTGTCGTTTAACCCAGATCGTTACCGAAAAAAATCTCAGGAGCCAATTGGATATCCTCGCAATGAATGGTTTTATCTAGAAGACAACAGGAGAGAAGATGAAGAGAAGAAACCAGCTGACAACCAGTACAGTATATTTATAATTATTACACATCGATCTCATCTTTTTTATCATTAGAGGCTAGCTATTAGACATGATATGGAGCTGCAATAGTGCAGTGGCAAGCATTCTTAACTGCTAATCAGAAGTCATAGGTTCAAATCCACACCAGATGAAGGAAAAAAAGAAGGAAAAAAAAGGGGGGGGGGGGGGAGCTTGTGTTTAAAAACATTAGTTCTTGGTTCTTAGGTTGACCTGGCACAATTTGGTGAGAACTTGTCCTGGAAAATAAAGTTGGCTGGTGTTGACCTCTTCACCTATTGAGTGCTAACTGTTCTATTTTGACCTATTCACCTATTGAGTGCTAACTGTTCTATTTTGACCTATTCACCTATTGAGTGCTAACTGTTCTATTTTGACCTATTCACATTGAGTACTAACTGTTCTATAAAACATGGGGCTAGAACTATATGTTTGGGGAGCTGTGGTGGTGTAGTGGCCTGCTGCTCCACCTGCCGGCCTAAGGGTCTAGGTTCCAATCTGCATTGAGTTAGACTTTATCCAGAGCCGACAGTTTGGAAGCATTGGCAAACTGCTTAAAGTGAAATTACCTAGTGAAATCACCCTCTCACAAATGCTGGGTTTGCTTCTGCAACATCTGGTAAAGGATACACAATTAACTTTTTTTTAAAAAGAGAGAAGCTTGTTTTTTTTTGTTTTGTGTGTGTTTTGTTCACACTTTTTATAACTTGAAGAATATGTGGCTGGATAGTATCTGGTACCAATCTGACAGACAAGCAGCCCACTAATTCAAGCACACTTTTGAACTCTTTAAGTGGTCACTGCAAGGCCTGAATACCACCACCATCATGTGCAGTTGCTGAGACTTCCATGCTCACTCTGTTTATTATCTGCATTCTCAGGCTGGCTTTATCATTCATTGTTCACAGTTCAAGATCATCTTCAATGCGTGTCAGGCACACCCATCCATAAGTGCTCTGATCTTCTCCTAAGCATGTTTCTTAATGTGTTTATGCTTACAAATACTTATGTGTACTGGTTGATGTAGTGACTGTAAGCTCTTGCTTGGTTTTCATGCCACGCTGTTCCAAATGGTATATCTCAACTTCACACCCAAGTCTTAACTTATGTACTTAGTCAATCCTCTTCTACCTTTTTGGTTTGCTAGAGGTTGCCAGACTTCTCTGTCAGCATTTTTCTTGCTGGCTTTGTTCCACTCCAGTCTCTGTCAAATGCTGTCTTCGCAGTGGACCCAGGGTCACTGTGGCAGGTCATTTGCTTTGTTTAGCAAAAACTCTCAAGTGCTGTCTACAGAAGATAATAGAACACAATTCTTCCTCTGTTCTATACAAGACAGAAAATGAAGACAGACTTCATTAAGACAGTATATAGAGGGAATCTAAAACAGTGAAACTTCCTAAAAGAACTACCAGTTTTCCAGCCTATCTTATTAAAGGAGAGGATTCAGGGTTTACCCACATGTTACCCACATTATCTTGAACTAATTGCTGAATTTCCACCTTTGTGGTGCCTGCTGGCACTCTCTACACTCCCGGTTCAATGTTATTATGACTCTACACAAATCTGACTGCTTTGCTGCAAACATGTCTGATTGTGTCTTCTGCCTGAGCCATCCATGACTTCCCTCTTATCAGCTACTGACCCATTACTACATCCAGAGCTTTGTACAAAGGGTGATCTGTGTCGGCAGCCACTGTGAGATATGACTTTGCCTGCAGCACCTTGAATTATAACATATAACTGGGTGCTGGGACAGATATCTTAACAAAATTATAGATGAAGGGGATTTCCCCTTAGTAATGTTACATCATGAGATATCCAACACTAACTCCAGTGGAAACGTTGAATGAATACATTTGCTAAATCATATTTACTTGAGGGAAGAATTGACAGAGGATTAAATATAATTGGAGCACAGCTAAGAGAGATGAAGCCTTATTACAAATTTTCGAAAACAGAGTCTTGCAACGAATCTTTGGACCCATCAAAGATGCAAACAGCGGTGAATAGAGAGTGAGAAGCAATAACGAAATTCATAATCTGTTTAAATCACCACTGATCACTGGCATATAGACTGAAATGGTTGGGACATATTGAAAGAATTCAGATGACAGAAAAGTGAAAACTGTATACACCAGAGAGATGAATGGTCGTAGACCACGAGGGAGACCAAGAAGATGATGGAGAGATCATATCCAGACAGACCTGCAAACACTTGGTGTTACCAACTGGAAAGAGAAGGCCAACCAGAGAGATGAATGGAGGCGGGTGATATCTGCAGCAATGAACCTCAAGGGCTCGGAATGCTGAAGAAGAAGAAGAAGAAGGCCCATAATCCTCCTTCTTCTTCTCTGACAATTTATGAATCTAATAAACCTAGCCATCACATGGTATTCCCCCTTCTCCGAGCTCTTAAACTAGTCTCATAATTCTTTGGACTAAATCTAAATTAAACCCAGACAGTGATTTATGAAACTAGAATCACCCTGAGGTAAAATAAACCTTGTACAGATTAGGCATAGGGAATATACACCTGTTTGTTCACTAGTAATGTATTGTCATGCTGGAGATTGGACTGACCCGAAATTCCACACTGGGACAAATATTCATTATTACATATAATTATAGGGTGTCACCATGGGGTAGTGGCTAGACACTCACCTGTGGATCGGAAGGCCGCGGGTTCAGATCCTGACCCAGTCTAGAGTGGTCTAGGAAGTCGGGCGGTTGGCATGATGCTGACCACATCACCGACCAAGTGCTGATTGGTCTTTAAAATATAGGTCTAGCCCTATGTGCCTAGTACACCTGAAGGCATGGAAAAGGGTCTTTTACTTTACTTAATAAATTTAATACAGTAGAGTCTGGATAAGTAGAAGTCGCAGGGACCTAAGAAAATGCTTCCACTTATCAGGACTTCTACTTATCCAGACAGCACACACAATAGAGAAAATTGCCGGGACTAAGCTGGTCATGTAGACTTAACCGAAATTTGACTTATCCGAGTTCGACTTAAGTGGACTTGACTGTAATCAAACACACCTATTCATGTTTTTAGTATCAAATAAACATGATCTCCATCAACAAATATATAATATGTTTACATACATGTACATTCATTCATTCAGTAGCATGTCCCTCGCGGAACCTCGCTGCCATAACAACCCTCCGGAAAACCTTCCTATCCTGAGCAAGATGTCCTGCGTCTGATACACCCATCTGGAGATCATCTGCCACATCCTGCACCCATCTTCTCCTTGGCCTTCCTCTTCCTCTCTTCCCAGGCATGTACATACTTGAGCATAAAAGTGGTCAGTGAGAAGAGCCCTCGGTTAATGGCCTAGAAAAGTCTCCCAGCAGCTGCTTTTTGAGTAGCCAGCTCTGTTTTAATGGCTCCATTCTGGTTTGTTACAACTCCAAGGTATTTTAACTGGCTGACCTGCTTTAATGCATACTGTCAAATCGTGATCTGGTGCTTCTTCTCCTCTCTTGAGATCACCATGGTTTTAGTTTTGGGGATACTGATGGTCATCCCTCTCTTCTCAGGCTCCTCCTTCCAGATAAGAAGGTTGGCTTGAAGATATGCCTCTGATTTAGCTATCAGATCAGGGCCACATCGTCCGCAAAAGTCAGCTCTGATATATACAGCTTTGCATCCAAGTCAGAGAGAAATAATTTTCCTCATGTTTGAGGACTTCAGGACATGTTGTCTTTCATACAGCATTAGTTGTATCCTTCTGTCCGTAGACAATTTACTTCCCAAAGTGGCATTGCCTGCAAAGGCATCAACCCTGTTGTTGCCTTTTATGCCCACTTATCTTGGCATAACTATGAATGTGATGGCATAAAATGTTGATTCGCCACAGCGGAGACAATTAATTATCCATGAAGAGTGAATAATTAAATAATTATTAATTATCCACCCTTCATTATCAGTTATGTTATGTTATCACAGTCGACGTCACTGCACACTGGGCATTCCCATGCAATCTCAATCCTCTGAGCAGCAGCCATTTCAAGGTGTCTCTACTAATTGTTCCCATAAAAATGTTGGTAATAATGTCTCATATCTTGGCCTCAAAGATGGCTGATATGTGTTTTCACCATGCTTTACTTCTCGGCCAATGTCTGTCTAGGATAGCTAGCAGGGAGAAAAAGATAAGACATAGCGAAAACACCAGACCTCTGGTACAGTATCACCTCTGCATCCTCGTAAAACTGTTGAGTGCCTGTTAACAGTAGTTTAATAAAATATATGAATCATGCGCTAACTTGGCTTTTAAAAAAATAAGCATGATATTTTTTTTTTAACAGGGAGTGGCGTTTCTTACTTCCTGATTACATGGTTCACAAAGGCTACCAGCCATCCTTTGAGAGACCAGATGCAGCACCTGTACGAAGTGCAGGACCTGTAAGAAGTGCTGCACCTTACTACACAGAAGCAACATCTGTTATGAAAGAAGAAGGCAGATTTGCCACTGATAAGACAGTAAAAATTGCAGAACATCGTCGACCTGGGTAAGTGCCACAAACATTATGTAAAAAATTTCACTTCAACTGTTTAACATTTTTTTTTTTCAAATGGCATTTCCCACCTACATTAGCAATGATTTGCTTGCCTGAATATCTATGGCCACTTTTTCTGTCCAACCTATGGTACATAATTCAAAATGAATGCTTTGTTTAATATTGCGACACCTGTTGATGTATTATATAAAAGCATTGAAACCAGTTTCAAATAAACACTTAGCATTTTCATACCAATGCTATGTTATCAGTGCCAAACTTGGACACTATCTTAAACTCACACATGTAATATTAACACTTGTCAAACAAGATTTCTGAGAAATTATGCTGCATGTCGACTAACTATTCATGATGAGAATTACACAGATATTGTCTTCCTGTATCATAAATTGCCTCTTTATTATTGTTATTTATATATGTGAGTTTAAAACAATATTTAAGAGTTGTTTTTTGTTTGAATGGTTAATTCCATCTTAGAAACCACAGTTTTATAAGATGGTAGTGACCTTATTGATGCAAAATTGCTGATGAAACCTTCTATTTTATTGTTGTACTAAGTAAAAACAGGTTCTTTTACTGAAATAATAATAGTTTGAATAGCATCATTAGAGTTAAAACTATAATTGATTTAACAGTGAAAGCCTATTTTAATGCACAAGTTTTTGAGTTGTAAAGTTTCTATGAACATTTACAATACTGTGAACATTTAGAAGAAGCATCTGAATTCTACTGCATGACATTTCACCAGTACATTGATTCCTAAAATTGAAACAATAGTTTGCAGCAGTGCACATTCAAGAATACTGTGAATGTCGTCACCGATGTAACAAAGTTGACTAATTGGGTCAGAGTGCAAGGAACCAACAGTCTGCATATACAAAAAAGTAATTCTTTAAAACACATGTGCAGGCAACACTCAGGTTTTGGAACAAGACTAAAGTCCAGAGGTGGATGAACAACCAGAACTTTCCGCTGGAGTTTACAGCCAGTGAACATGAAGAAGAAGAAGATGAGACAAATGGGATTTAAGTAACAACTGGGTTGTAAGAAGTTAATGTAAAACATGGAGTGACTGCATACAGTTAGAACTACATCATACTAGAAATAACCGATAAATGCATACGTTCATTAGTATTTGTCCGGTGGGCTACTGTATGATAAAGTGGATGTGATGAAGGCTCTCTAGAATCAAATGGACAGTGTAATTGAACAGAGAATCCATACATTGAAAGACTAAATCAGCTGGTTTGGGGGGGGGGGGGGGGGGGGGTGGTGGCGGTTATGGGGGAAAGAGAGGTGGACTTTTAATCAGGTTGCAGCTGGTACTGTTAGCAAGTCAACTCTTTGTTGGCTCCTGAAGAAGGTTGCGGAGCAGCTGTGGGAATGTTGAGTGCAGTCATGTCAGTTCTTCATTCATTCATTCAGTCGTACAGAATGACTTTAGGAGAATATTTGTAATCAAAAGCAGTGTAACTGATTGTATTCTTACTTTTGTTTATTCTTCAAAATACATTAAATAATTTCCATCAATATTTTCTAGCTACTGTTTTTTTTTTTATATATTTTTTTTAATTTTACAATACTGCTAGTATAGTTTATTTTTATTTGTTTACAGATATGGTGTTCGCAGTGAAAAATATACCCCTGCTACACAGCAAAGTCCACTCAGAGAAAAATTTGGGAAAGCACAAGACTTTGAATCTGTTCATGGGGAGAAGAAGAGAAAACCAAACTCATCTAATCATGTATGTTAATAAATGAATAACTTATGTAGTTATGCGCTTAGCAATTCAACACATCCTACCCAAAAGTATGTGCACCATTACGTAATTATCTTCAGGTGTCAATGGGTTGGAACAGTACAACTGTGTGGCAAAGAAGCTGGGGTCACAAATGCAACAAAATGATTCATGTTTCAAGAAAAAGGGGCAGAACAATCTGAAAAAAAAATTTATGCCATGTTTGGACCAGTCAGCATACATAAGGTGGGTTGGTTGGTGTGGAAAGAGTAATAAAGTTGTAAGGTACTTTAATAAGATGTTTTATTGCTGTTGTTCAACTGTGGAGTCCTCTTAATATAAACATGTCAGCTAACATCACCACAGTTTTCACCTAGAACCAAAATAAGAGCAACATTTCATGAGTAAATTCAACCGGGATGTAGGGACAATGTCTGAGGGAAATAATGAAACTCAGCCAGGGTGAAAGCACACTTGAGAAAGAGCTTTACCCGTCTCTTTTGTTTATTACCATCCTCTTTGGGAAGGGAGAGAATTAAAAAATTAACCTGATCTCCTTTGGTGAAACTTCATTTGAAGAGCTGGAATTATACATTTATTGAGGCTGCTGTGTAGACTAAGATAAAGGAACATATTAAAATGCCTAAATAAGAATACAAATGTTAAGAAGAGTTTTCATGGCACTAAGCAGTTTACAGAAGTGAAAAAAAAAAATAAACATATTGCTAAATTTAGATTATTTAACTCTTTCATAAAAGCAATACTTTTGTATGAATTGGAAACACGAAGAACAATTAAGACAATTACTTATAAACTAGAAACATTCACAGATACCTGTGTAGACAGACTCCCATAATTAGAAACACGGAGAACAATTAAGACAATTACCTATAAACTAGAAACATTCACAGATACCTGTGTAGACAGACTCCCATAACTAAAATAGTATAACATGTGGAGTGGTATCCAACTGTAAGATCTAGCCAATGACAATGGCTGCATGTACTTAAATATAATGCAGAGCTTATGGATAGAACTAAATCATTTCCAGTAAATCAAGCTAAGCAGACCTCTCAGTGTGGATTCTAAAGTACCATTGTGAGGAGGACAAGGAACAAACTTACTGCCCACCTAATGTTGTAATAGTCAGTCAGGAGTATTTCCTTCAAAGTCTTCCTGAGAGATGAGGAACCAACAGTCTGCATACAAATAAGCTAGATCTGTAATACAAATTTCCATGCAAATCTCAAGTTCTGGAACAAGACCAAAAGTCCAGAAGTGGATGAACAACCAGAAATGTTTGGTCAGAATTGACAGCTGGTGAATGCCAAAAAGGAGTAAGAAAGAAGTTACGCCGTACCTGGTTCAGTATGTGACTTTGGTGATTTATCATTGGGGTTTTCTCATTTCTTGGCTTGAGCTGTTACATATCTATTGTCAGTTATCTCCAGCGGCTGTGGCAGGAATGTTCTTTTGTTTGCTTTTGTAGGAAGTGCAAATGTCCTTAGATATATATACTCCTGGTGTGATTTCTGGGGGTCTCATTTTGGGGGGAAATAATAATAAACCTGATATTCCCCTATTAAGCTTGTTGTAAAAGATGACTAACTAGGGTTTTGCTGAGATCACAACACAGCTTGTCAGCCACCCTTTTAAGGGTGAATTCAGAAGAAGAAGAAAATATTACATACTGACTCTGTTTACATTAAAATTAAGAATTCTTAGAGTTTGTGAAAATGAATAGCTAGAATAATTTTTGTTATTTTGCATGAGAATGTATTTATTTTCCGTGTCTCTTGAATAAAGTAGAAAATATTTTCATATATATTGTTTCTGAAAGTGTTAAAGGATACATGTAAAATGTATCTAAAACAATAGACAATAAAAATAATTTGCCCTGAAATTAAAATAGAAATAAGAAAGCACAAATTATCCACACAGCATGCAGTGCAGTTTGCTGACTATTTGATTCTGTGAGTTTTCATAAGTTGGTTTATAATTTAGGTAAGTTATCTTTAATCAGTGTCAGGCCCCAGTACGCCAGCTGACAACAGCTCAAGCTAATAAAACAGCTCAGCCAATAAAATTAAACTCTCTAGCCTGCAAAGGCCATGGCGAGAGCCCTAGCCATGTAACCCTAAATCTTCAGGCACCACCCCATCTACACCTAGCTGGCTGATTCTTTGAGGCTTTATAAGTCTGTTTATAATTTACATCAGTTATCTTTAATCAATGTCAGGCCCCAACATGCCAACTGACAACAGCTCCAGCTAATAAAACAAATCAGCCAATAAAATTAAACTTTTAAACCTGCACAGTTCATGGCGAGAGCCCTAGCCACGTGAATCCTCAGGCAGCACCCCATCAATACTGCCCTAAAAAGTGGTAAACACAGACAGTAGTGACAGTTGTTGTTATTTCAGGCCAACAGAGAAAGAGGAGCCCACCAACATGAGTAAGCTGCTGGCTGGTGAATATGAGAAACAATGGTACACGAAACGTGCTGAAATGTTGCAGCAAAACCAGCCTGGCGTATCACATGGAAGACCAGAAACAGAACCAGCAGATGCAAACCCCAGGACTACTTATTACCATCAAAAGTGAGCTGATTTGTATAATTTTCCTGCTAAATGTTCATATAATATTTTGTTGAGTTAAACCTACAGGTATCTAGCTGGAATGTAGATTAAAGGTTAGTTGCATATTCTTTACAGGACATTGAAGAACCAACCCCAACAGTCCCTGGCTGTTGTGTGGTTTTTCTAGGCAAATTTATGTCCTGTAGTTTGTTATTGCTTTCTGGACGGTCGGCTTTTTTAATACCACTGTTGAAACCAACGCAAGGCGCATGGCCCACAGCTGGGATCAAACCCAGCATCCCGGCATTACGAAGCGTTCGCATTGACTTAGCCACAGAGCTGACAGAATGTAGATTACTAATTTAAAAAACAATTAATGTTACAAAACAATTAATTTAAGACTGTATTTATGTACAGTTTCTCTTAAACAGCTTCCATTTTTTGTTAATTGCAGAACCCATATGTTTACAGTTAGGACATTTCTAGATTTTAATTATGGATGATAATTTTTGCCTCATTGTGTGTTGTCACTGGATGCTGATTAACTGCATTGTTTTGAAATTTTAAAAAATATTCTTCTTTCTTCTTTGAGTTCACCAGCTGTAAACTCTGGCGGAAAGTTCTGGTCATTCATCCACTTTGGCCTGCAGTCCTGTTCCACAACCTGAGTTTTGCATATGCATCAGTTTTACATATTTTATTCATTGAATGCAGACTGTTGGTTTCTTTCCTCTCAGGCTGATGCACTCTGACTTTGAAGGAGGCTCCCAATTAGTCGACTCTTACAACATGCTTTTGGGTAGGCAGTGAGTCTGTTCTTGTTTTCCCCACAATAGAGCCCAGGAACCCACATAGGGATTTAAAGAATATAATTTTCATCTTCTTCTTCACAAATCTGAGACCTTGAAGTTCATTGCTTCAGATAAAACTCTCCTCCATTCATCTGTGGTTGACCTTTTTTTTTTCCAGTTGGTGACTCCAGGCATTTGTATGTCTGCCATGATATTCTCTCCACATCTTCTCAGTCTGCTTCATGATCTACTTCCATCCACCTCTTTTGTGTATTTATGCTTCCATGGCCCAGCTACTGTTTAGTGCTTGGTATGACACTGTGTGCTGTGGATTTCATGTGGGAATTTTTTTCTTTCTGTTTTGAACAGCACTAAAATGGCAGGTAGCTGATTACATTTTAAATGGTGTGTACTTGAGAGAGCAATGCCAGCTTTCATAATTAACTGCTTACATCAACAGTGAGCACAATTATGGTGCAAGACTGTTGATGTTGGTACATCTGATAGCTGCCTTATGATTTACTTTGAATGTAGAAGCTTCAATATTTTGCTGGGACTTATGTGTCAATTATTAATTTTCATGTGTGTCAGTGCAGAACGATGTATTTATCGTCTCTCTGTTATCTAGCATACTAGTCTCTATATGCCCTAACTATTGCAATTCACTAGCCTTCCCTTCTGATGTTAGTAATTATTGGTGATTGAAACGAATTTTGTTGTTGCTTCTCACTCACCATTCTCAGCTGTTTGCACCAGTGATGGGTCTTAAAATGTGTTGTAAGAATCTCTTCTTAGTAATTTATAATAAACTTTGTCCTTTTTTTCTTTTTAGTAGCACTTAAGGTTTTAGAGCTATATCGGAAGATTGTTATGCCTTATAAAAGACTTAAATTTTCATGTTCAGAGTAAATTGCCAGCTGCTCTGTACAGGTTTAAAAACAAAATTTAAATGTATGTATATGTTTTACGTTTAGATATGATGGAGGTTTACCTCCAAAGCGAACAGATGATGAGGAGGAGAAAGAATTGTTTAAACTGAGCAGGTAACATTTTTTTTCTTGTGCTCTTGACTCCTTGCGAAAATTTATTTCCAGTTTGATTTTTTGTTTATCATTAACAAAAAACCAAACCTAGATCACTTGTTTCATTGTTAAAATGAGAATATAAAACATTTGTTAAGTATAGAATTCTATAGACATTTGTTCATGACATATTTGTGTGTATGGGCGCACATGTGCATTTGTGTGTGTGTGTTTAATATATTGTTGAATATTTTGCAAATATTTGTTGGATATAATGTTGACATTTGTTTCCTCCTTGTTCATCCTTAGAAGGTTTTGATGTGTCTGTTAACAGTTACATCATGATCTTTGTTTCTGTTTGCTAACCCTAACCCTAACCCAACTCTGAAATGCCATTTTAATGACTGGGGCTGCTCAAATTGACACACAGAATATATTCAGATGTGCAAGAATAGCTGGACTAAACACTGAAGGAAAATAAGATATGCAGATTCCCCGTGTGGGTGTTCGGGCCCCCCGTTTTTAGAAAAATAAAGAATAGACCAACTGTCATTATAACGAGCATGTTGTAAAAGCCAACTGTTAAGGCGTTTGCTAACAGCAGGTAGATAGATGTGTTGGGCTGAAAAGTGCAGATAATCTTAGTCTTAGTTGAGGTTTCAACATTACTGCAATTAGGTTTCCACATATGTGCTCCATTCCTGTGCCAGTGAAAATCAAATGAAATGTCTCTCACTGTCCCATGTGAAAAAAAAAAAAAAAACTGGTGAACAAAGAGTTAGTCCTGGCACAATCTAGAAATGCAGGTGCAGATATTGCATACTAGCTGTAAACCACAACTCAACCTGCTAGTTGCCTTTTTGTGGGTGAATGCTGAAGAAGAAGAAGAAGATACGCAGTTAAATTTTGGTGGCTAAAAGAGAACAGGATCTCTAAAATTAGTAAAACAAGCAAAAAAAAGTAAGAAATGAAAATGGCTTATACAGAAGTATCCAATACACAATTGTTATTGTTATAAATTAAAATTAGCCTTTTCTTTAAAAATTACAGTGAATGGAAAGACATTTGAACAAAATCTTGACTAAGGGCAGACAGAGAATAAGAATGCCCAGGGTCAAATTCTAGCCAAATAAAATAGCTTTTTCTTTTTACATCTCAATAGCCAAGTTGTCGGTTTTGTTGTTTTTCCAAAATATTTTAAACATTCTTCTAAAAAATAAATATGATGTCATTCTGTGAGTGTATGTGTGAAAAACTGAGGCAGGTAACTGACGTTTTTACTTACTGCACTTTCAGGTTCAAGAATATTCCTTCTAAGCTGGATTCACAACAAAGGGCAGAAATTATGGCTACTTTGAAGTGATGTTCTTTTTAACAAACATCAACAGTTTGGATATTGTCATTTGTACATATATATATTTTGGGATAAAAAAAAAATAAAGCTACTATTAAATATTAAGCACACTAAATGCTCACAGAAAATTACTTCCTTTATGCATTAATAACAACTGTAATATGATAGTTTTCTGATAAAACAGTAACAACAAAAAACATAATGTCTCTGCATCTATACCAACTCAGGATTTATTAATCGACAATAAAACAAAGCCAGAATGAATAATTCTATGAAGCAATTTCAACAGCCACATGCTTTATCAACATGTTAATTGAGTATTGATGGCTCCTAAATATTTTAATAAGTGTAATTATTAACAGTGTATTGCACTGAAAATTTGCAGTAATTTATATCACTGTATTGAAATGTTGACAATTATGTGTCACTGAGATTAATTAAAACTGTCACTGCTGTCTGTGATTGCCGCTGTTTAGGGTGGTTTAGACAGGGGCAGGGGATCGTGAGCCTGAGGATTTAGGGCCACCTGGCTAGTGCTGTTTCCACCGACTGTGCAGGTTAGGATGTTTAATTTAGCCCCGGACAGAAAATCTCCATAACCTTACCAGGGGTTAAGGTTTCCCAATTTTCCCGCATGAGAACCCAAAGTTGTAATCACTCGGTCAGCAGCTGCTCAAGATTAATAACAACTGTATGTTACATAATGGGAGGAATTAGTTGTAAGTTCAGGTCAACCTGATAAGATTTTCAATAGCTACTGGTATTCAGTAACATACTGCAATGTTATGTGATTTTTTTGTATAAAAACCATTCTCAAGGATTTCGGACAGCGGTATGGGAGGCATGCTGTGGAAGAGGTTGGGGCATCATCACGTAATAATCCCAAATGTAGCATTTTAAGTGCACTGTAGCCAACCTTCACAATGGAAATGGCACAGAATGTAAATTAAAAATGCCACAAGCATGCCAGCCGTAAGAAATAACATATACATATACCCACACTCACATAATGGAAAATTTGGTAACAAAGCAATCAATCTTCACAGATAAAAGCATACACTTAGGATAGGTGCAGGTTTTTAAATGTTTGTGCATTGTTTTCAGTTAACTATTGGATCTTTTGAAATCTTTGCTAGCTCTTTCTTTACTGCTTCTCACTCACTGTGTGGGTTCTGGGGTCCTGTTTTGTTGGAAAAGGTGCGGAGGGGAGGGGGGGGGCGCGCTTCCAACAACCCTGTCATAAAAGTCGACTAATTAGGAGTGTTTCCCTCTGAGCTGTCTGTCAAGCGTAGAACAACAGTATGCATATGAATAAGCCAGATCTGTAAAACAGATGTGCATGCAAAACTCAGGGAGTGGAATAAGACTAAAGTCCAGAAGCAGACGAACAACATAAACTTTTTGAAGAAGTTTACAGCTGGTGAATATGAAAAAAAAAAAGACTGCTTAGCTGCTTTTTTTTTAACCATATATGTTCACATGTTTTGAGAACTGGAGTGGTATAGCAGCTAGATGCCGTGACTCAGGCCTGAAGGTCTTGGGTTCAAAACTGCATGGAGTTGGAAATCCCTTTGTCTCTCAGGTCAGTCGACCCAGCCAAAAATTGGTACCAGGTGAAGTCCTTGGAAGCAAAGGCGGTCAGCATGATATTGACCACTTACCCAGTGAGAGCATTGAGGACCAAGTGGTCTATAAAATGTAATTCTAGCAACATTTGTGTGATGTGCCACTGGCGTGTAAATGTTTTTTTTTTAAAACTCACTTGGTTTTACTTTGAGTTGTTTCACCAACAGTGCCTTAGTCATTGCACTCACATCAGAGGTGATTTAGTCATTGCACTCACATCAAAGCTAATTTAGTCATGACACTCACAGGCAGAACTAATTTAGTCATTGCACTCACACCATCTCTCTCTCTCTCTCTCTCTCTCTGTCTCTGTCTCTTTCTTATATAAGAGCTAATTTAGTCATTGCACTCACATCAAAGCTAATTTAGTCATGACACTCACAGCAGAACTAATTTAGTCATTGCACTCACACCATCTCTCTCTCTCTCTCTCTCTCTCTCTCTCTAATTTCTCATTGCACTCACATCAAAGCTCATTTTTCTTGCACACACATAAAAGCTAATTTAGTCATTGCACTCACATCAAAGCTAATTTAGTCATGACACTCACAGTTCATGACACGTCACAGCAGAACTAATTTAGTCATTGCACTCACACCATCTCTCTCTCTCTCTCTCTGTCTCTGTCTCTTTCTTATATAAGAGCTAATTTAGTCATTGCACTCACATCAAAGCTAATTTAGTCATGACACTCACAGCAGAACTAATTTAGTCATTGCACTCACACCATCTCTCTCTCTCTCTGTCTCTGTCTCTCTCTCTCTCTTATATAAGAGCTAATTTAGTCATTGCACTCACATCAAAGCTAATTTAGTCATGACACTCACAGCAGAACTAATTTAGTCATTGCACTCACACCATCTCTCTCTCTCATTATAGGAAACATAAAAATAAATCCTTTAAATTGACATACACATACAAATCATGTTACATTGTGTGTCACCATGAAATTTTTAGATTAACCATGTGATATTTGCAGGCTTGCCCATCATTATTTCATCCATTTTAATATTTGTGTGCTTTTATTAAACTTACAAAAATGTTTTATTTCTTTTAACCTGGCAAAATTAGTCAGAAAAAATGTTTTACAGCCTAACCAGTTTATGGTAGAAACTCTGAATAAAGAATAGTTTGGAAAACTTGTATTTGTATAATGTTATAAAATTATTTTTATGAAGAAAGTATTTGAAATGTGTAGTGCTTTTATATTTCAAAATCACACAGTAAACTATTGTTCATTAACTATTTTCATAATTAATTTTTGCAAATTTATAGTTCATGAAATGTTACTTTGTTAGAAACTTTGATTAATCACGTGTGGTAAACACTTGTCACTTTGATTAACTGCATCTGCAGTCTCTGTTATTGAATACCACAAACTCCCCATGTGGGTTTGTGGGCACCATTTTTAGGGGGAAAAAAAGAATAGGCCCACTGCCTCCTAATATATAAGGTGGCTAATTAAGTGTGTTTCCTTCCAGGTCAAAGCACATCTGCCTGGATTCCATAGGCATGAGGTGCAATTTTTCATGTTAAGTGACACAGTTTGTCTTATACCAGCTTTCCTTTTTTTGTTTATGTCACTCTTTGATGAAGACTGCTTTCTTCTCTGTTGTGCAGGCATTTTTTTTAGTCTGTTTTTCCTCCTGGTACTGTGTTTAGAGTTGAGGGCATCCATTTCAAGGGACAGGTAGTGTTTAACATTTTATTTTTCTTTTGTCTCATGGTATATTTCTCTTATCTGCATTTAAATACTTATGTAGCCTGGCTCGCGAGTGTAGTTGGCTAAACCTGACTTCATGACGACCGGGTGACGAACTCCTTGCAGTCCGCCTTCACGCCCGGGGGTAGGCAGAAAAGCCACATTTCTCCCAAATTTACAGTATTTATCATGGAATCAAGGCCGAAGGGTTGCGATATCCATAGTACTGAGCCAAAGAGTTAAGAACTCATGGTTTCTGGAAAAAATACTTGTGTTGAAAATTTCATTCTGGCATTCGATTTCAGTCTTTTAAAGAAGTTGGCATTGTGAGCAGGTATCATATAATACTGCGGCATCTCATATACACCCCAGACTCAACAGCACGGCTGTGCTCTGTATGCGTACGGCTTGATCAGCTATCTCTTTGATGTGGTGAGCAGTCCCAGTTCATAATCCAACACTGAGATGTTCAAATGCAGGTGTAGTGAGAAGAGTATTCTTCGCTCCCTGTCCACTTCTGCAGTAATCTTTAGTGCATTGAGCCTTTTCTACATTCTGCTGTAATAGCCTCCATGTGTTCCTTAAAGGACAGGCTTCTGTCAAAGGCAATGCCTAGGTGCCTCAGTTTGCTTTCTGTTTTGATGCTTTTGTCATTAATTGTGAGGCATGGAACATTAGTTGTAACAATCCTATTGACCAGAGAGCACTACACGATAGCCACTTTTTCTGGTTTGATGACAGCACCCATCTCTGCACAACAGCCAGTCACTTTGTTCACAATTGCCTAGTTGTTGTCTCCCCTGCCTGTATGCAAGAACATCATATGCAAATGTCATTATCCTTTCACACCAAGTGCTTCAGTCTCTGCAGTCATGCTCATATACACTTTGATAGCACTAGTGGTATTACAGATTCATGTTGTAAACTAGTGGTGATGTTGCACATCTCTGAGACTCATATACCCACATGCAGGGCAACCACACGAGAGTACAGGACAACTGCTATCCAGTTAACTATTCAGGGACAGGCCCTGTTTTCTATATATAAGCACAGACATCAAAATGTTATATCTGACTCTATTTAAGACATCATCAAGATCGTGCTGCCACTACTATCTCTTGTCTGTTCTGGAACCGTCACAGACACCAAAAGCTAAAGTGTCCATATTTAATCAGATATCTTTCCAAGGTCCTTTAACTACCCAAACCTGCTGGGAGGAGAGGTCCGTTAACTACCCAAACCTGCTGGGAGGAGAGGTCCGTTAACTACCCAAACCTGCTGGGAGGAGAGGTCCGTTAACTACCCAAACCTGCTGGGAGGAGAGGTCCGTTAACTACCCAAACCTGCTGGGAGGAGAGGTCCGTTAACTACCCAAACCTGCTGGGAGGAGAGGTCCGTTAACTACCCAAACCTGCTGGGAGGAGAGGTCCGTTAACTACCCAAACCTGCTGGGAGGAGAGGTCCGTTAACTACCCAAACCTGCTGGGAGGAGCTCTTCACTTTCTAAAAATGTCTGCAATGTAACAGCAGTCTCCAGCACTTTGCTAAAAGTATTTGTATGGTAATAAATCTGAAGCTGCTGAGTTGTAAATGAGTTTGCCTAATTAAAAACCCAGTTCTATGTGACCAACACTGTGGTACTGGCACTGTTCTGATGCTCTGTTCAAAACGAACAGCCATT